CCCATCTGCCCCGTGGGCTGCTTATCGGGTAACCAGAGCCGGGAGCTGCATCCACGCCTGAAACAGGAAGCCCGGGCCTGTGCTGAGCCCTGAGAGCCCGCCGAGTGGCCAGGATGGAGGAGCAGCGGGCGCTCACGGCCGCCAAGGCCGGGGACCTGGCCACCTTGGAGCAGCTGCTGGAGGCTGGCTCCCTGGGCCCGGGCATCATTGACGCCCTGGGCGCCGGCCTGGTGCACCACGCCACCCGGGCTGGCCACCTGGCCTGCGTCAAGTTCCTGGTGCAACGGGCCAAGCTGCCGGGCAACCAGCGGGCCCACAACGGGGCCACCCCCGCCCACGACGCAGCCGCCACCGGCAGCCTGGCTGAGCTGTGCTGGCTGGTGCGTGAAGGGGGCTGCGGCCTGCAGGTGAGCAGGGGACAACCTGGAGGGCTGGTGTCCACGTGGATGGAGGGAGGAGCGAGCCGTGAGCCAGAAGGTCCAAGGCCCTGGGCTCTTTCTCAAAGACTCGCCACGGAAACCCCGCGGCTTAGTCCGTGCGGCTGACTCTGCCCACCCCCCACAGCTACACAAAGCCCTTGCTGGTGGAGTGGCTGCTCCGGGAGGGTCACGCGGCCACGCTAGAGCCAAGGCTGCCCCCAAACCACCTGTGTCCCCATCGCAGGCACAGAGTGGCCGCTCAGTACTCCCCCCATAGGAGTGTCTGGCCCAGTGGGTGGGGGTCCTGCCAGTTCTTGTTGTGCCTGGTGCCTAGGGCCTGTCTCCTACAGGGCCTAGAAAGGGTACATGGGCAAACAATGGGTGCTCGGGCTGAGACTGGAGCCCCGAGGCCTGAGCTCAGTCTCCAGGGCTCAGGGATGGCTTGTGGGGACCCTTCTCCCAGGGCCCATCCTTGCCCTGTTCCCTCCTATACGCTGCCCCTTTCTTGGGATGACCGTGGGCAAGCTCTGACAGCCGAGTGGGCATCGGGGCCACTGCGTCCCAGCAGAGGGAAGACACTAGTCACAGCCTGAGTGCCACCAGTCACAGCTCCAGGGACAGCGGCAGGAGTGCTGCCTGGGAGAAGGCCCAGGTCTGATCCCACCCAGGACCTGTGCCGGGCAGGGGAGGCGGGCGGGGCTCTCAGTGGGATGGAGCCAAGGCCAGGAGGCCGTATCCTGGGACACAGAAGGCCGCCAAGCCCAACTTGGCACTGCTGGACAAACGGAAGCCTTTCTGGCTTGAACAGGAACTGGGGAGGGAATGACTGTGCTCTGGCAGCAGGACCGTCGCTGTGGGCGACAGGGTCACAGATTCGGATCCAGACGTGAGCTTGAGTCCTGACCCTGCCTCTTACCTTGAGCAAATCACCTCCCTCAGTCCAGAGAGAGGGTCTCCCTCACCTTAAAGCGAGCGGGCGAGAGGCGGGAGCAGGAGCTCCCAGACAGGTGGGTCCCCGGCAGTGTGGGCCCGAGGCGCCTCTGGCTGCACTGTGCTGCCCAGCGGGGGAGAGTCCAGACCTGCCACCCACTAGCACCCTGCCTGTGCCTCGGCAGGACCAAGATGCCTCGGGTGTCTCCCCACTACACCTGGCCGCCCGCTTTGCCCACCCAGTGCTGGTGGAGTGGCTGCTCCGGGAGGGTCACGCGGCCACGCTAGAGACGCTGGAGGGGGCCCTGCCACTGCACCACGCCGCTGTCAGCGGGGACCTGACCTGCCTGAAGCTCCTGACGGCCGCGCACCGCAGGTGAGGAGCTGGAGCGCCGCCTGTTGGCAGTCTGGGGGCCTGGGCCCTGGGGAGGCTGCCCCAAGGGTGCAGAGGAGAACTGCTGGTAGCCTTTGATGTGGACCTTGTGGGACAGGAAGAGTGACAGAGACAGGGAAGGGCAAGCCTGGCTGTCCCACGGCCCCACGTGTGTTCCCAACAAGCCTGGCATCCCAGCAATGGAACTGTGTTCTCATTCCTGGTCTCCCATCCCCACCCCGGGGCCAAGGCCTTGGGACTTGCTGCTACAGATCTTCCCAGAGTGTCCACGCCGGCCACAGAGTGTCTCTTAGACCCGCAGTTTCTAAAGTAGTTTCTGCCATTTGAAAACTGCGAGACTTCACATTAAAACATACACACACATCACATGCACACGCATGCACAAATGCACACACGCAGGCACACACACACGCACATACACTCAAATGGGAAGCCCTGTACCCCAGAGGCCAACATTCCCACCAGCACCGACTGCAGGAGTCAGGTTAAGTCTGTGTCACCAGGGGACGGGGTCACCTTGGGTAGGGGACAGCTCCTTCCTGCAGCGAGTCACTGGGAACCAAGAACTCGTCTGGCCCTGCCACAGGTGGAGGCAGAGGGGACTCAGGAAATTCCAGGACCCTGCTCCAGTCCATTTGCACCTGCCCCAAATGTCAGGCCCACACGCCCCGGATGCCTGGTGTCGGGCCCACAACGCCCTCCTTTCCAGAGCGGGCCCAGCTCTGAGTTTGCTGACCATGGGGCTAGTTGCCCTGCGGCGCCTCCTGCGGACAGCTCCATGGGGAGTGGCGGAGCTGGGTCTCAGGGCCGGAGCCGGCCATCCTCTCTTCCCCACCCCAGTGGTGCCCTTGGGGGTGCGAAACCTGTGCAAGCCTACAGGGCACTGGCCGGGGCCCCTGCGGGTAAGGGAGTGGGGCGAGCCAGGTGCCGGGCCTCCCCCCCTCCACCTGGGCCCTTGGGGGAGCAGTACCC